ACGGCTCTGTGGAATACTTGATTCTGATTGGTCAATCGCGCCATCCAGCGGTATGTTATGTAAGGGATAATGTACACCCAGCCGGTTGTTATCTCAGAATAAACCCAGACAGGGTGATCAGGATCTTGTATCAGCCTGAAGGGGTTTATTCTGAGATAACAACCGGCTGGGTGTACATTATCCCTTACATAACATACCGCTGGATGGCGCGATTGACCAATCAGAATCAAGTATTCCACAGAGCCGTGTAATAATGTTAGTTAACGTATTAAGATAAACATGAACGAACCATGAACAGTACCTTTATTACAGTATTTATTATTCTTTGTTAATGTTAATTAATGAAAATACAGTCAGTCATTGTTAGTTCATGTTAATTCACAATGCATTAACTAATGTTAACAAGCATTACTTTTGATTTTAATAATGCATTAATAAATGTTGAAATTAACATTAACTAACTGAGCAGAAAAGACTTATTTTAAAAATGTTACCAACCCCAAACTTTTGAACAGTACTGTATATTTATAAAATAATAGTAATAATAATAGTGTTCTGTTTATATGGCACATTTCCTTTGCTCAAGGCGAGACATAAAAGTACATCAAAAATCAAAAAACATGATAATAAAAAAGCAACAATTTTAGGTGCACTGCAAACATTTTGTTGTTCCCCATTACAAATATCTAAAAAATCTTAAATCAAGATACATTTACTTGAGAAGCCAAATAAATTTTTAGATATTAAGAATGAGATATTAAGTATATTTTCTTAAGGATTTTTCTTACCTCATTGACAGATTTTTTTTCTTGTTTTAAGCATAATCTCAAAAGTCATTTTGAGTATCCAAGTAAAAGCATCTTCATTTAAGAACATTAAGATTTGTACTGGAAAACAAGACAAAAATACTAAAGGAAGAAAATCCTTTTTGCAGTGTGTGTGAACTGTCCCTTTAAAACTGAAGCGGCACTTCAAGAGGAGAATTTTCCAAATGGAGTGCAGCTCACAGCGCAGAGAAGCAGGTCACTCGTCCCTGACCCCTACAGGTCTATTCCCAACCCCCGGTTCTCTCTGTCTGCCTTTCTTTCTATTTCCCTCCCTCCCATCAGTTCATTATGGTACTTTCAAGGACAGAATCACAGTGCGCCACACACACAGACACCTACATGAACTTCACGAGGACACTGGCAGGACACTAATCTGCTGCCTCATCAATTTTAGCTCGTCCCGAGAGACACTGTAATATTGCGTGCACATACACGCGCATACATCGTCTACGCAACGAGTGTCCGTCCTCCACTTGATGATATACAGTCGCCTCAAATTACTGGCTAAACTACTCAGGAGGCAATCCCTCTCGTTCAATGCGAGCCAATCAGAGCGCTCCGTTGCCTCCACCAATCTTTCTGCATGGTAACAGAGTTGATAAATGATTGGTTGAGCAGAAATTAGGGATGGGCGATACCTCTTATTTTATTTTCGATCCGATACCGATATTTTCAAGCCCAGTATCGTCAATATCGATACCGATACCTCTAAACTAGGGGTGTCAAACTAGTACATGAAAAATAAACATGGTGTTACATAAGTACTAAAATGTATTATTATTATTATTACCATGGTAAATTTGTGGTTACTGCAGTTTTAGTACAAATACTGTGGTAAACTGTGGTTACTGTAATAAAACCATGGTTTATTTTTGTAAAAGGCTACCAGGCTGTTGTACTCCTAAAGGTGAAACTTTAGCATATTTTTTTATGACAGATTTATTAACAGCAATTACAGAACATAACACAATCCATTTGAACTTTTAACAACCAGAATTCTTAATTCCAGAAATAATTCTAATAGCCTATAATTTGCAGCTCAAGAAACATTTCTGATTATTAGGCTATTGCTGCTTCATATTTGTGTGGAAACCGTGATGCTTTTTTCAGAATTAATTTTATATATAGTAAAAATGATATGTAATGTAATGTAATAATGTAATGCAATGGTTTCTTAAGATCTACTTATGCTTCTGATGCTTTTGGGAAACGCATCCCTATTTGAACAAGCACTGTGACTGAGCCATGCGTCAGCAGCGAACACTGTCTGTGATTGATCTTTTAGCATTTGCGTGTGTTCCGATGAGCAGGAGAAATAGTTCTATCCAACACAATTGTTCGCTAGTATAATCTATTTTTCCACTTAGAAGCATATTTTATGGACCGAATTTCTTGATAAATAAAATTAGTGCACTTTAGAATCTATATTTTTATGTGAGGATCGATCCATTCGATACAACACCAGTATCGAAAGTATCGATACTTTAGGATCGATCCGCCCATCCCTAGCAGAAATGCTGAAAAGTGTAATCTACTGTTACAAACACAACGCACAGAAATATGACAGCCACAACCAAGTCAGCAGTGCGGTATATAGTACATTAGCTGACGCTGTAGCTGCGGTCTCATCGGCTAATAGAGCCTGCAGTGAAAACAAACACACGGTCAGAAGAGCAAACGCGTATCTGTCGCATTAGCAGTCATTATCCAATCAATGCAACAGCATCTGAAGAGCTGCTGAGTCAACGCTACAGCGACAAACAAACCGTAGCAGCTGCACAAACATTAGCTGCGCAGACAGATGGAACAATTGCGACTTTAATGAGTTTTAATGGATGGAGGAGTAGCATTATGAGGTGAAGCAATGGGTTCCTTGATAATGAGAGTTTCAAGACTGAGCTCAAGACATAAACTAACAATATAACTGCACTGGATAGTATCAAGTGTCAGACAGTGTTGTTATTCTTAAGTAAAACTAAAACTAATAATATTACAAATCACTTTCAGTACTGAAATCAGTGTTATTTTAAGTATGATTGAGATACTATTATAGTTTTTATTTTTGTTTTCCGTAAAAAGTTAGAAACGCCAGAGATAAAGTCAGAATTGCGGAAAAAAACTAAACAAAACAATGAACTTGCAATTGCGAAAAACGGTCACAGTTCTGAGAAAAAAAATCTGAATGTAAACTCAAAATTGCAAGATATAAACTCCTTTTTTTCCTCATGATTGTGGGTTTATATCTCACAATTTCAACTTATAAACTCACAAATGTGTGTTTATCTCGCAATTCTGAGAAAAAAGTTCGAATTGTGAGAAAAAAGTCAGAATTGTGAGATGTAAACTCAAAATTGCAAGATATAAACTCACAATTCTAAGAAAAAATTCTGAATTGCGAGATACAAACTAAGAATTGTGAGTAAAAAAGTTTTTGACCAAAATCACAATTACCTTTTTTAAATGTTTTATCCTGTGGCGGAAACAGGCTTCCTACTTACATAAAAGCAACTGCCCAAGGTTGTTTCCAAGATGGCCACCGAAGTGACACATCGATTCATTAAGTGAGTTAATTATGATTCTGATTTAGATTCAGATCAAGTTCAAACAGAATCCACAGAAGGATTAATTTGGGAACTGAACCTCCCTAATGCAGCTTACATCTGCAACCATTTGTTTAATTAGTCAATTAATTCCACATGCTTTCACAGTTGCTTTACCTTCTCCTGGTACTGGCGTCGTGAGGAGTCCAGTGATTGGATGAGGGCCGTGGCATGTCCGATGAAGACGGCGTAGCAGGTGGCACCGACGATCATGCTGAGCATCGTCAACCAGATATCAGAGAGACTCTCCGGAGCTTGACGACCGTAACCTATGCACAACATGTGACTCATGGCTTTAAACACGGCAAACGAGTACAGCTCACTCCACGTGTCGTTCTGCAGAAAGAGAAAGACAAACACTGGACATAAACAGCATGTAATTGCCGTTCACAACACCTACTGCGAATCTAAAAGCAGCATACCAGTAAGAAGCAGCAGTCTATGACTTTTGCACTATAATTGTTCCATCCACTTTTATATAATGGAAAAAGCATCAAGAATTTGCTCTTTTTGAAGTCATACAAGTTCATAACGACATAAGGGTGAATAAATGATGACAGAATTGTCATGCACGGCTTCAAACGTGACTCAAACTATATTATTTACAATGTTTTACTGTTATTTTTTTATTTATCTGTTATTTGATAGATGCAAACTAACAGACACGATTATTCATAAACTAAAAACAATCTGGAATTAGTGCAAAAACAGCTTCACATTTGAACCACACAGGGATAAATGAACAGTAAAACACTGTAAATATGTAAGAAATCTTTCAAACTGTAGAATGCTACAATGTTGTCACATGGCCAAACTACGTTACATGTTTAATTAAGCAAGTGCCATTTATCACGTGGAAAATCAATATAGTAATTTTGCATTTTGAATACAGTTTTGTATACAAATGTCATAACGGCGTCTGATCACATAATCAAAAAAATATATATTATATCATGATCAAATTCCAAGTAGGAGGAGATAAAGTATATTATTTAGTACATTACCAAACAAAAAAAGTAAATAAATAAAAGAAAAAAAAAATCTACATGGTTGCCTAATATACACTGGGAAAAAATATTTTAATTAAATTAGTGTATAAGCAATTTTCATTCAGAAAGTGTTTTCTTTAAAACTTTGAAAAATCATTTTTTTACAGTGTATAAATCAATTTTGGCTCTAATTTTCAGTAAAGCATACTACATTGTGATATCTAATGTTATTATATTTGGCAGTCTGATTACATAATGATTCAAGAAAGATATTAATTACAATGTTATACATTTTATCCCTGCTAGGTTCAAAAGTGAAGCAATTTTGCACTGATTCCAAATCAGAAAAGTTAATAGTAAAGAGATGATATGGTATATGTTTTTGTATTCTGTATGCAATTCATATTATAACCGAAATGTCTACTGAGCCGCTTTCTGAACTATAATAAATAAAGCAATTAGCTGCAGAACGGCCGGCCGTCAGGCGTCTCGGGACGACAGAGATCAGTGTGTGGTGAGGGTCTGCCAGCAGTCTCAAACAAGAAGCCATTAAATGTGCCCTTTTTAAAAATGCGTCTGCTGCCTGACTTGTGCTGACATCCGGCTAATTCCCAAGGCAAGATTAATTACGGTTGCTGTCCTCTGCCCAAAAGCTCAAACTCCTGAACTGAGGAGAGAAAAAACTGGATCTATTGCATCCCATCGTGATTCCATTAAAGGAATAGTTCACCCAAAAATGAAGATTTGCTGAAAATGTACTCACCCTCAGGCAATCCAAGATGTAGATGAGTTAGTTTCTTAATCATAACAGATTTAGAGAAAGTTAGCATTGCATCACTTGCTCACCAGTGGATGCTCTGCAGTGAATGGGTGCCGTCAGAATGAGAATCCAAACAGCTGATAAAAACATCACAATAATCCACAAGTAATCCACACCACTCCAGTCCATCAGTTAATGTCTTGTGAAGAAAAAAGCTGTGTTTGTAAGAAACAAATCCATCGAGACATTTTTAAGTTCTCTATCCATAATATTGCTTTTTCCAGAGAAATTAATCAGGAGAATCTCGTCTGAATCAGGAGAGAAATCTGCACAGAACAAGCACTGATTACAAGACAAAACAGTCTAAAACAGCTCTAAACAAATATGTGTGTGGATTTTGATGTGAGAGACAACAGGAAATTGACATTTTCACTGGAGGAAGCGTTATTATGGATTATGGACTCATATTTTCGCCAGAAGCAATAGTTTAATGTTAAAATAACATAATGACGGATTTGTTTATTACAAACACACAACTTTTCTCTTTACAAGACATTAACGGATGGACTGGAGTGGTGTGGATTACTTGTGGATTATTGTGATGTTTTTATCAGCTGTTTGGACTCTCGTTCTGACGGCACCCATTCACTGCAGAGGATCCACTGGTGAGCAAGTGATGGAATGCTAAATTTCTCTAAATCTGTTCACACGAAGAAACAAACTCATCTACATCTTTGATGACCTGAGGGTGAGTACATTTTCAGCAAATTTTCATTTTTGGGTGCACAGTGTGCAAATTTTGCAGTATGCAATGCACTTGACTTGACCTTTCATGACTCATTATCTGATCTGACTGCCAATGTTAAGATGTTTTACTCAGAATTGGATTGAAAATGCAAAAATAACTATTGATTTCCCAGATGATAACTGGACACCACTCTTAACTTCTTTGTTTCAAAATCCTAAAATTTTCTCTTGATTTCCAAGTGTAAACGAAAGGTCCGGATTTTCAATGTGGCCTCAGACTGTTGGATCCCACAGTATGCAGTATGGAGTAAGTAATATTCAACTGCAAACATAGCCTGCATACTTTTCTCCCCTAAGACTTTTCGGTGGCATGCAAAGTTAAAGGGAAGAAGAAAAGGACATAGAAATGAAAAAAAGGGAAATGAGGAAAGTGTTAAAGTCAGAGGGAGCAGGTCACTGTAGAAACACTGGAGTGAACAGGCTTGAATTTTACATGAGTCGAGAGCACTTTGCCTTGAAAACACAAGAAGTAGAGAGTCCACGCTGGAGCTCTGGACACACACACATACACAGACAGAGATATTGTGTTGCAGATTTAGTGAATAGAGTGGATAAAGAAGGACACATTCTACAGCAGCCTAGAAAATCAAGGATGCATACTCACATAAACCTGCATATACTGTACATTGACTATCTTGGGATTGCAATACTAGCATACTGTGCATTATCTACTGGTTGGTTTAGTAATATAAGTAAGTGAAACAATTTGTAACAATAAATCTTTCAAACAATAGAACGCTATTTTGTTGTCACATGACCACACTATGTTGCATGTTTAATTTAGTGTGTCCATTTTTCATTTGGGAAATCAGTGTAATTTTGCATTTTTTATACAATTTTGGACGCAAAAGTCATAACATTTGGCAGATCACAAAACATATTGTTATATAAGATTAGTCGTACGGTGATATGAGATTTTGGTCATACCATCCACCCTACAGCAAAGATAGTATACATACTTGTGCATTCATGCATTTGACAGATTTTATCCAAAATTACTTCCGTGCAGTCCGAAGCTAGATAATTCCGCACACAGCTGCAATTCCAGGTTTTCAAACAGAGATGGCGACAAAGAGGCAAAACTTACGGACTGCAGCTTTAAGGTTATTTATTTATTTATTGCTTGCTTGCCAGTAGTATGAGTAGTATGCTATTCTGAATATACGAATGTTCTTTGCTAGGACTTCCCATCTGTAACTAGACTAATCCGAACCCTGAAATACACCTCCTGGAATTAAAAATAAATAAAAAGAAATAACATAAATAAATAACAGAATAAAATGAAATTAATAAAATAAATAGTAGAATAATAAAAAAATGAAAATTGAATGAATGAATGAATATTGAATTTAAATGAAATAAAATGGATTGAAAAAAATTCTATTAAATAAATAATAAATAGATAGATAGATAAAAGGAAATAAATAATATAGTAAAATTATATTAAATAAGTAAAATAAATAAAATAATAGAATAAAATTAAATTAAATTAAAATGAATGAATGAATGAATGAATGAAAACAAGTGAAAAATTTAATGAAATAAATAATAGAATAAAATAAAATACAAACAAACAAATAAATGAAAAGAAAATAAACAATGCGATAATAAAATAATAATAGAAATTCAGAAATTATGTAGCCACAGAGACAGCACACATCTGAGCATGCGCGCGCACACACACACACACACACACACACAGACACAATCCACTTCTCCAGCCTGCTGTCTGGACTCCTTCCATGGGCTTATTGCAATACATTTCAATATATTGAAGTATGAAACTGAGAAAAAGTATGTAACAAAAAGGAAGAGAAAATAGGAGTGAATGAGCCTCAGGGAAAGGGAGACACTTTCTTGATCACTCTCTCATTCCTTCGCTCATTCATGCCCTGGTCCGCAGTGATAGGGCAAGAGGCATTATGGGAAGACATTCATTAACCATACAGACACGCGTGCCCTGTGGCCGATAAGCTGAGACGCTTGGATTCTGCCTGTAATAGTGCAGTCGGGCCGCCAGCCTGTTCTGACTCTATTTACAATAGCTTATCTAAACGTACAGCAGTCCTCGACACGCGCTGCTGCCCAGGCCTGAGACACCAGATGCTGTGTAATATATGTTTTTAATCTCGGCCAAGACAATCCAACATCTCTTCACCGAGCCATTCATCTCCGCATCTGACCAAGTCAGTGCGGTTTTTCATCTGAAAAATGAATGCGGCAGTCAGGTGGGAAAGCTTCCTGGGGTAATGATACTATACGTGTGTCTGCTCTTCAGGAGGAATACATTCAGATGCCGAGTAAATTACAGAAGAAAGCAGGATTACATTTCTGATTGGTTCTGTATGACACAAAAAGGTTATTTGTCCCCTCTTGACCTTTGTTTGACCTGTTGAGAGATACAGCAGTTCTGTAAGAAATTACGTATTTTAGGCCAAAATCTGGAAATGGTTCCAATGGGTTTTTCTAATGGGTTTTTAGTTACTGTCTGATCACATAATGAGCCAAGAAAGAAATGTTAAAAATCAGGGTCGATGTCACTTCTGGTGCATTAGTCACATTCAAAATATATTGTTATATAAGATTACTCATACCGTGATATGAGATTTTGTCATACCGCCCACCCTACAGGAAAAATAGTACATCTACATACATTTGTATTCATTCATTTGGCAGATGTTTTAATCAAAAATGACTTACAAAGCATTCAAGGTTACATTTTGCCAGTAATGAGTAGTATGATCATATGCATATGCAACATACTAATATCGTTTGCAAAA